TACCCCCGCATACCACTTTGTCAGAATCACAGTGGCCATTTAGAGCTCAAGGACAACCTCCCTGCCAAATCTGAGGTTACTTAGCCAGTGCATTGTTAAGTTATGTATTCTACATGCTTCAAATGTGAAAATGTCAAAATCAATACACTGCGGACATGCATTCTTTAGCAATTGAGAAGAAAAGCTTTTTTTGTCAAGGTCCCTGTGACCTTGACCTTTGACCCAGTGACCTCAAAATCAATAGGGGTCACCTTATGGTCATGATCAACATCCATGCCAAATATGAAGACTGTAGGTTAAAGGAATCTTAAGTTAATGGGTGGACAAACTTTTTGAAGTCAAAGTCCCTGTGACCTTGACCTTTGATCCAGTGACCTCAAAATCATTAAGGGTCATCTACTGATCATGACTAACCTCCATTCAAAATATTAAGACTGTGGGTCAAAGGAATCTAAAGTTATTGGACAAACAAGCATTTTATGGTCAAGGCCCCTGTGACCTTTGACCTGGTGACCTCAAAGTCAATAGGGGTCATCTACTAATCATGACTAACCTCCATGCCAAATACGAAGACTGTGGGTCAAAGCAATCTTAAGTAATTGGGCGGACAAGCTTTTTTAAGTCAAAGCCCCTGTGACCTTGACCTTTGACCTGGTGACCTCAAAATTAATAGGGGTCATCTACTTATCATGACTAGCCTCCATGCCAAATATGAAGATTGTAGATCAAAGGAATCTTAAGTTATTTAGCGGACAAGCTTTTTGAAGTCACGGCCCTGTGACCTTGACCTTTGACCTCAAAGTCAATAGGGGTCATCTTCTAATCATGACTAACTTCCATGTCAAATATGAAGACTGTGGGTCAAAGCAATCTTAAGTTATTGAGCGGACAAGCTTTTTGAGGTCACGGCCCCTGTGACCTTGATCTTTGATCTGGTGACCTCAAAATCAATAGGGTTCATCTACTAATCATGACTAACCTCCATGCCAAATATGAAGACTGTAGGTCAAAAGAAACTTAAGTTATTGAGCGGACAAGCTTTCTGAAGTTACGGCCCCTGTGACCTTGACCTTTGACCTCAAAATCTATAGGAGTCATCTACTAATCATGACTAACCTCCATGCCAAATATGAAGACTGTAGATCAAAGGAATCTTAAGTTATTGGGCGGACAAGCTTTTTGAAGTCAAGGCCCTTGTGACCTTGACCTGGTGATCTTAAAATCAATAGGGGTCATCTACTAATCATGACTAACCTCCATGCCAAATATGAAGACTTAGGGTCAATGGAATCTTAAGTTATTGGGCGGACAAGAAAAAACCGCCGGACGACCGGACGGTTGACCTGATTCCAGTATACCCCCTTACAACTTTGTTTTGCGGGGGTATAACAACATCCATATTGAACAAATCCTGTAAAACAAAAGTACCTAAGACAAGAAGTTCAGTATTTATTGGATAATGACTTTATTGAACCAAGTCAAGCAGTTACAGCTCTCCATGTATTCTTGTACCCAAATCAAATGGAACATATAGAATGTGTACAGATTATCGTAAAGTGAACTCTGTAACAAAACCCTATTCATTTCCTATATCAAGAATTGATGACTGTATTGACAAAATTGAAAAAGCAAAGTATGTAACAAAGTTTGATCTTCTAAAAGGATTCTGGCAAGTTCCACTTACTGATAGAGCTAAAGAAATATCAGTCTTTGTAACACCAGACGGTTTATATCAATATAAAGTCATGCCCTTTGGTATGAAAAACTCACCAGCAACTTTCAGAGACTTATAAATATGGTAATATCTGGTCTACACGGATGTGACGCATACATTGATGACGCAATCATATACTCTGATGAATGGAAGGAACATCTCAAACTATAAGAGCATTCATCGACCGTCTTAGTGATGCTAAATTGACAGTTAATCTTGCAAAAAATGAATTTTGTCATGCGATTTAAACATTTTTAGGACATGTAGTGGGACAGGGTAAAGTAAAACCAATAGAAGGTAAGGTCAAAGCTATCTCTGAATTTCCTGTGCCTACTTGTAAAAGCAGGGTATTATCGTAAATTTTGTAATAATTTTTCGGTTATTGCAGAAACATTGACAAATTTGCTAAAGAAAAGAAACAAATTCATTTGGAATGACGAGTGTCAAATGGCATTTGACAGCCTTAAATATAGGTGCTGGAAGTGTATTGATCCAAGAAGACAACAATGGTGTTGACAATCCCGTTTGTTACTTTTCTAAAAAGTTTAATGAACATCAGAAAAATTACTCTACAATAGAGAAAGAGTGTCTTGCTCTTATTCTTGCTATTCAGCATTTTGAAGTTTACCTAACTTCTTCAAAGTTGCCTGTTATTGTCTTTAGTGATCACAATCCCCTCACCAATAGAAGGTAAGGTCAAAGCTATCTCTGAATTTCCTGTGCCTACTTGTAAAAGCAGGGTATTATCGTAAATTTTGTAATAATTTTTCAGTTATTGCAGAAACATTGACAAATTTGCTAAAGAAAAGAAACAAATTCATTTGGGATGACGAGTGTCAAATGGCATTTGACAGCCTTAAATATAGGTGCTGGAAGTGTATTGATCCAAGAAGACAACAATGGTGTTGACCATCCCGTTTGTTACTTTTCTAAAAAGTTTAATGAACATCAGAAAAATTACTCTACAATAGAGAAAGAGTGTCTTGCTCTTATTCTTGCTATTCAGCATTTTGAAGTTTACCTAACTTCTTCAAAGTTGCCTGTTATTGTCTTCAGTGATCACAATCCCCTCACTTTCTTGCATAAACTTAAAAACAAAAATCAAAGGTTGTTGAGGTGGAGTTTGTTTTTGCAAGAATATAGTCTTGACATTAGACACATTAAAGGGAAAGATAATTTGATCCCTGATGCACTTTCTCGTGTCTAAAACTGATATTTTCAGTATTAACATTTAACATCTACATCATATGATTGTTTATTTTTACTTCGTTGTTTGCTATTGTTTATAATACACATATATAATTATGATTTTATGTATAAAATTGTTTAACATTTCTCCTACGTTATTCGTAAGTTACATTGTTTGGATTTATGTAAAAGAAATATTCATTTCATTCATATTTCTTTTTCTTGAAGAGGGGAAGTGTTATGTATGCAACATATTACATGTATATAATTTATATCTGACCAGTTGGTATTTCCAATATTATCATTGTTCTATTTTTAGAACATAAACTACATGTATGTACTAGAACTTTCTTAACTTTTGTAGAAAACTCATGCATTATAGTTAGATAGAAATTTCCAGAATGATCTTTATTGTTGAAGTTGCTAATTTATGATTTGTGTAGAAAATGGAAGACTATTCTAGAAACTTCTTAGCTTAATATATATTGGAGACATTTTTCTTTCGGATTACCTTTTAAGTCATCAGTGACCTTTTAAGTCATCAGTGATCTTTTAAGTCATCAGTTACCTTTTAAGACATCAATATATTTGGAGAATTATTCAACTTGGATATTTAGTGATTTATTGGAGCTTGGATTATTTTGCAATAGTTAAAATTATTCTTGTGGATTTTATTGTGGGAATTTATTCTAAAGTGTTCTTGAATTTAACTTAGATTTAACTGTGCTATTCAAAAAGGATCATTCCAGGATCAGACTAGACATTTAAGATTTCATTTTAATTTGGACTTCATGTATTTGTAAACATAATTTGTTATTTCATTTTTTCTTTAATAATTTTTCTGTAATAAATTTGTTATTGTTACAAGTTTGTTGCTGGCTTTTCTATTTCGTTACGCCTGACTCGTATATAACACCTAGTTTTTCATCCGAGATGACCCATGTTTAAACTTATTTGAGCTATCACCTAGACAAGCATCCTGACCGAGTTTGATGATGATTGAGTAAAAAATGTGACTGCCAGAGTGTTAACAAGGTTTTACTATTTTTAGCTCCGGTGACCTAGTTTTTGATCCGGGATGACCATGTTTGAACTCATCCGAGCTATCACCAAGACAAGCATCCTGACCAAGTTTGATGATGATTGAGGCAAAAATGTGGCCGCTAGAGTGTAAACAATGTTTTTCTATTTTAGGCTCCGGTGACCTTGTTTTCATCCGAGATGACCCATGTTCAAACTCATCCAAGCTATCAACTAGATAAGCATCCTGACCAAGTTTGATGATGATAAAAAATGTGACCGCTAGAGTGTTAACAAGGTTTTTCTATTTTTAGTTCCTGTGACCTAGTTTTTCATCCCTAATGACCCATGTTCGAACTCATCCGAGTTATCAACAAGAAAAGCGTCCTGACAAAGTTTGATGAGGCAAAAATGTGACTGCCAAGTGTGGACAGAGCACAGTCAGAAGCTCACCCTGAGCAAGCTAAAAATCAACAAAGGGTCATAATTCTGTTAAATTTGGTCGCAGCAAAAATTCATTCCTTTACTACCATCTACACATTAAGGTTGTTCATCCCTGGAAGTCTAAGCAAAATCCTCCATCTGGTTTAAGAGAGGTGGCGTTCACAAGATGGGACGTACGGACAGACAAGTGCAATGCTATATGCTCCCACTTTGTAAGGGCATAAAAATGTGACCATTATAGTGTTAACAAGGTTTTTCCATACTTTGGCAGTGTGACCTATATTCTAATCCCCAGGTCACCAATATTCGAACTTGATCTAGAAATCATCAAAACAAACTGTCAGACGAATTTCCATAATATTAATTTGCATCAAAACAGTAGCCAATCATTCTATTTTTACCTCCTGTGTCCCTGATGACCCATGTTTGAACTATCCGAGCAATTACCTAGACAGTATCCTGACAAAGATTGATGATGATTGAGGCAAAAAAGTGACCACTACAGTGTTAACCAACAAAAGTGGAAGGACAATGGACATTTTACAATTCTAAAAGCTCACCCTGAGCTAGCTCAACAGAGCTAAAAACATCATTTACAACATGATTTACCACTGACTAGCATGAACAGATGCAATTAGGTTTCTTAAAATTTATTTATCAAAGACATATTCTATTCTCTAAAAATTACACAATCAATTGATTTTTTTCAGTAAATGGTCCATATAAAAACTCAAACTTATAGAGATTATGTTTTGAAGCATGATAAAGAAAACAGTAATACATTGTTCACCTAAGTTTTTCTCCTAGGCATTTTAAAGATGCTGTTACTACATAAAACAACCAAAATGGATATACAACTTTTTTTAACATCAGCTTTAACCACTGGTAAAAAGGGTTAAAAATATATTACTAAATGTAACAAAACTCAAGATTCACTGAAGATATATCAAAATGAATCAAGATAAAAACAGCTTGGCAATTATCAATAAAATAAACGCTTCAATGATTACATGAATCTGTGGGCAAAATATAGGAAAATACTAAAACATTCTATTAATACAACTTAATATATTTAGTAACTTTTTGACATAATTGACGATGGAATAGTCACTGTTCCAGCCAGAATTTATATTAGAACAAGCATTTGATAGTATTGCGGGCAATACAGTAGTCCCCTACCGGTCCCTCAAAAAGTTCTTTAATTGTCATACACTCCTGTGTATTGCCATTTATAATGAATTTGAGGATGAAGTCTGTATTTGAAAATATCAACCACAAAACATAATAAAATAAGTTTGTCTATATCACAGTAATGTGTTAAGTTTCCATGCTTAGTAAGGAAATTATGTTTATACAACCTTGTCATATTATTACGATGTGGGATTTTAAAGTAAATCCTATAAGGAATGAAGAAGTTGAAGTGAAAATACCAGTTTCTCGAAAAAAATCTAAGTTCAAGGGGGACATAATTCTGGAAATAGTCTTGCTAGAGTATTTAACCTTCTCAAAAATGTCGAGTGATAATAAGAAACATATATATGAAGTTTGAAGTAGATACATTAGGAAATAAAGAAGTTATTTAAAATAGACAACATTTTTTCCCCTAAAAAATCAAAGTTCAAGGGAGGTAATACTGATATTTTTTGTGCTAGAGTTATAAACCTTGTCACATATGATGTGGTTGATGACCAGAAACTTATATTTAAAGTTTGAAGTAAACACCTTAAGAAATAAAGAACATATAGTGAAAAAGCTGAAAAATTTAAATCAGAAATCTTGAAATTCAGGCTATTTGTTGCCATAGCAACCAGAATTTTCAACATAGGAAGAAAAGAAAAAGATGTGCATAATCTCCAGACTGCCATCTACCCATATTTCAAGTTTCATAAAAATATTTTCAGTACTTTTTGAGTTATCACTGGATCCAGTTTATGTGTTAAATTTGCCATATTTTCAGACTATTTGTTGCCATAGCAACCAGAATTTTCAACATAGGAAGAAAAAAAAAGACGTGCATAATCTCCATACTGCCATCTATCCATATATCAAGTTTCATAAAAATATTTTCAGTACTTTTTGCGTTATCGCGGGATCCAGTTTTGTGGACGGACGGACTGACGGACTGACAGACTGACGGACAGACAGACAGACGGAGGGTAAACCTAAAGTCCCCTCCGGTTAAACCGGTAGGGGACTAATAACTGCAAACAAAGCACATCACTGCAAACGTCAATAAAATGATGTGTGTTTAACTGTATTTGTTACTTAAGCCATATACATGAACTGTAACGACTCCTTTTTACATTTAACAATACTTCTTTCTGTCTTTACTGTATTAGGTTATTATGTAATGATATTTTTCTTCCCTTCATAGTATCTTCATGGTTCAAACTTTCCAAGAATATCTGAGTCTCTAAATAAAAAGTATTCCTGAAAAAAACAACAAAAAAACAACATAAATAACTAGAACTATAGCTGAATGCGATACAATTACCCCCACCGATGTCCTTGACAGAAGACAACTTGGAAAGGTGGTTAAGGCCTTTAATGGAATCACTTTAGTGGCACAAATAAATATGCATAAAAAGAAATTATCACTGATGAAAAAAAAACACAAACAAATTGTACAGGTAATAGTATAACAAGGAACATCGCAATGCGATGCAACCAGGTTTTCAGCAAAATATTTCACAGAAGCTTCGTCATGCAGGGGCATTTGTTTTAAAGTGAACAACCGCCCGCCCACCCAAAATCACAAAACCGGGATGATATGCACAAGGACTCTTGATGAGAAAGCTTCTGTGAAAGTTTGTCAAAATAGTTTGTAGGAAGAGGTTTGCAAATAAGAATTTGTTCACTTTATATTCTATATATGGAACAAAAACAATATATTTCTATATAAGGGAAAAAAATAAATGGCAATAATTAGGTCAAACATTATCAAATCTCATAACCCTGACAACATGCAGCAAGAGTTGATGACAAAGCTTCTGCGAGAGTTTTGTCAAAATCCCTAGAGAATTGTAGGAGTTGCACACAGAATTGCGCAGAGAAGAAGTGTTCACTATATATATTCTGTATAAGGAAAAAAAACAAAGGGCCATAATTAGGTAAAAAATTATCTAATCACAAAACCCCGACAATATGTGCTATGGCACTTGATGACAAAGCTTCTGTGAAAGTTTGGTCAAAATCCGTTGAGAAATGTAGGAGAAGTTGCGCACTGTAGAAATTGTTCACTATTATATTCTGTATAAGGAAAAAATACACAAAGGGCCATAATTCGGTAAAATATTATCCAATCACAAAACCCCGACAATATGTGCCAGGCACTTGATAACAAAGCTTCTAAGAAAGTTTGGTCAAAATCCGTTGAGAAATGTAGGAGGAGTTGCGCACAGAAGAAATTGTTCACTATAATATTCTCTATAATGAAAAAAACAAAGGGCCATAATTAGGTCCAATATATACCAATTGCAAAACCCTGACAATATGTGTCAGGGCACTTGATGACAAAGCTTCTGAGAAAGTTTGGTCAAAATCCGTTGAGAAATGTAGGAGGAGTTGCGCACAGAAGAAATTGTTCACTATATATTCTATATAAGGAAAAAAAACAAAGGGCCATAATTAGGTCAAATATTATCTAATCGCAAAACCCCGACAATATGCGCCAGGGCACTTGATGACAAAGCTTCTGTGAAAGTTTGGTCAAAATCCGTTGAGAAATGTAGGAGGAGTTGCGCACAGAAGAAATTGTTTACGCCCGCCCGCCCGTCCGCCCATCCGCCCGCCCGCCCGCCCGCCCCGCCGACATACCTCAATCTAATAACCAGTTTTTTCCTTCGGAAAACCTGGTTAAAAAATATATTGTCAAATCATGTTCGAAACAGATTCATTTTCCCAATGTACTAAAACAAACAAAAGCAGTAAAGTTAAGAAAATAACACAATTATGTCAAAATGTAACCAGGAGTGGAAAAACTTTGCATACTGAGCTTACTTGTGACCCTTCATATATTATATAGTTTCAAGTGAATATCTGTTCTAGTTTCAGAAAACATTTAAGTATTAATGGTTAAATCAGAACATTTTCTAAGCCTAAAAGTTGCATAACTTATGTCGTAACTCAATGGAATTGTAGAAAGTTTGTCATCTGAGATTTTCATGAAGTGAATATTTGAGCCAAGTTTGACGAAAGTCTTTCAACTAGTGTAGGATTTATAGAGCAGACACAACAAACTGTCTATTATTTGATTGTTTGATCAATTTGACCTTAATTAGTGACCTTGACCTTGGTGACCCCTAGGAACATTAAGGGTTTTAAGCATCCCAATTTTGAGTAGCATTTACATTATAAGAAATTTGACATATTTGATAGACTTTATAATGTCCGAAACAATTCCTTTTAACTTTGAATGTCATTCAGTAGTGTTTAACACTGCGTAAATGAATTGTAAATTTCTGTCATAACAAGAGTAGACATGACAGAGGGACTAAAACTTGCATTATTTACATGTTTAATTTTAATTGTGAATCAAATTGAAATTATTGTATTTGTCAGAGGAATCAAATCGGCACCCTCAAAATCAATTTTCGATGTATCAGCAGGAACTGTTGCACCTCTACAGTCAAGCAATCATTGGGACAAATACAGGAATTTACTGGATGCAGGATCCTTCATTCATAACTCCTAAAATGTCTACTGGGAGCCACAATTCCCTACCTCTTTCATCCAAGTGGATCAATAATATAACTAGAACTATCACTAAATTTGATTACTGTAACCCAATTTATATTCGCAAATACAAATTTACACGTTTTACCTAGGTCAGACATATTCGCGAATATTAAGTTCTTGCTTTACTTGATTTCCGAATAAAATATTCGCGGATTGGAAAGTCCGATGGGGCCAAAAATCCGTTAGCCGACTATAAATCTTCAATAATTGAGGTCATTATTGGCGTCTTAAATGGGTTTAACAATATGCTAGCCGTATTCTACCCCCTCCACAACTTTTGTACCAGGGTAAAACAGAGGCCTGCCACCCTGATGTTATGTTTCCAGAAGGATGGGACATATGGCATTCCAAAAATCATTGGTCGAACGAAACCACCATGCTTAGATTTGCAGAAAATATTCTCATCCCATATGTTTGCGAAATCAGGGATCAGTAGGATCTTTCTATAAAACAACCAGCTTTAGCGATTTTTGATGTGTTTGCTGCCCATAAAGTTCAGTCCTTTATTGATAAGTTAACCAAAGCTGGAATTTGCATTCGGTACGTACCAGGTGGATGTACTGGGGAATAACAGCCCCTAGATTTATCAGGAAATGTGCAGCTCAAAGAAAATGTGAAAAAGCAGTTTACTAGTTGGTATGCAAATGAGGTATCTGCACAATTGTGTATAAAAGATATAAAAGACATAGACATCAATCTGCGCCTGTCCCTCATCAAACCACAGCATGCAAAGTGGCTAATGAATGCCTTTGACTGTGTAAAACACAATTCAGAGCTCTTCAAGCTCGGCTGTAAAAAAGCTGGACTTCTAAAATAAGTGCGAGTACTTTGTATGCATATACTTAGTATAGAAGTGTAATTATGAAGAAACTTAAAACTGACACCTGCTCCGTATAGTACCCTAAACAGATCGTGATTGACAATAGGCATACTAGTATTTCATAAACTGTATTAAAATATGGATGTTTATTTTTATTGCTATATTGACATAGAGTTCTTTTGATATTTTTAAAATAGTAGTAGTTTACTTTGTGTTTTTATTGCTTTATGGCAATATTCATAACAATTCATTACTTCCTAACAGGTGCCCATAAAATTCGAAAATATATCCGGTCAAGTAGCTTCTAAAATACAATTTCTCTCCAATTTATTTGGAAATAGTGCTGACTTATTCGGGCAAACAAATATTCACGCTTCGTGGCCATCCACAAATAAAGTGAATATTAATTGGTCGCGAATATTCGTTGGGTTACAGTAATACCCCCACAAGACTGCTTTGGAAATGAGGATGTTACTAGTAACAGAATACCTTGTAAAAGAATTGAAATATAGAATTATGGTTGTGGGCAATTAAAGATAGTTGTGGTTCTTGTATGTTGCATTTCCTTTCAATGTGGTTGGTCATTGATGAAATTTTATTGAATTACTCTGTAATACAAAATGTAAGTCCAGAAAGACAAGGAAAAGGAACAAAGGGCAATAACTCTATAAATACTGAAGATGGAGTTATAGTTATTATGCACTGCACTTCCTCTTATTGTGCTTGACCATTGTATGAAGTTGTTTTGAAATCCAACAAGTACCTTTTAAGTTATGCTCCGGACAAGGAAAAGTCTCAAAGGGCAGTAACTCTCTATTTTGTCAAAATGGAGTTATGGCTCTTGTGCACTGCACTTCCTTTTAATGTCCTTGATAACTGTATGAAGTTGTATTGAAATCCACAATTGGATTACTCTGTAATAAGTCCAGAAAGACAAAGAAAAGTAACAAAGTGCAATAACTCTGTCATTAGTCAAGATGGAGTTATCGTTCTTGAGCACTGCACTTCCTCTCAATATGCTTGACCATTGTATGAAGTTATATTGAATTCTATCCATTAGTCTTCAAGTTATGCTCTGGACAAAAAAAGCAATGAAAAGTAACAAAGGGCAATAACTTTGTAATTAGTAAAGATAGAGTTATGGTTCTTGTGCATTGCACTTCCCCTTATTGTGCTTGACCATTGTATGAAGTTATTTTGAATTCCAACCAGTAGTTTACAAGTTATGCCCCGGACAAGGAAAAGTAACAAAGGGCAATAACTCTGTAATTAGTCAAGATAGAGTTATGGTTCTTGTGCACTGCAATTCCTCTCATTGTGCTTGACCATTGTATGTAGTTATATTGAATTCCAACCATTAGTCTTCAAGTTATGCTCTGGACAAAGAAAATGCAACGGACGTCTGGACCGACCGACTGATCACCAGGTGACTACTATATACCCCCCCCAAACTTCGTTTTCAGGAGCATAATAATGACTCCATAAATATTGCTGAGTATAAGTGTTTGCTTCCTGTATGATTCAAGCAGTGTACAAGTAGTCAGACTGCTTGAATTAGATGTTAGACATCTTGAATAAATGGTTCGACCCCTTAAATTTGTGGTTTGATCCCCATTTTTAATGTACCTGCATCCATTGGACCCGTGATGTAAATCACAGGGACAAACATCATGACCAACTTTGGTGACGATGCAAAAATGAAACCACTTGAGATGACATTCAACAATCCTTAAAGCTAACACTGACTGACTCAGGGCAGCTAACAAATCACATCCATTTATATTGTTAAAAATTTAACAGGACATAGGTAAAATCTCAAAGAAAGCACCAGCAAACAGTACATACTTATTAAGCTCAGTGTTTTTTTTCTTTATATAACTACTACCCTAAAACGGTACCATTCCCAATAGAAAATAGACGTTAAATTCCCAAAATGACTGTTCAAAATGCCCGCAAGGCAAAGTGATTTTTCTAAAATCATTTAAATCCAACATATTCATATAAATCACCACTCAATAGTTCTATCTAGACAGTGGAAGCTGTTAGCTATCTTTATTCATGATGTCTAATCTCATTTGTAGCTGAAAAAAATTCCCAATTTTAGTCAAAACTAGAACTGCCACTATCATGGCTTGAATACCCCCGCATACCACTTTGTCAGAATCAACAGTGGCCATTTAGAGCTCAAGAACAACCTCCCTGCCAAATCTGAGGTTACTAAGACAGTGCATTGCTAAGTTATGTATTCTACATGCTTCAAATGTGAAAATGTCAAAATCAATACATTGCGGACAGGACATTCTTTAGCAATTGAGAAGAAAAGCTTTTTTTTGTCAAGGTCCCTGTGACCTTGACCTTTGACCCAGTGACCTCAAAATCAATAGCGGTCACCTTATAGTCATGATCAACATCCATACCAAATATGAAGACTGTGGGTCAAAGGAATCTTAAGTTAATGGGTAGACAAACTTTTTGAAGTCAAAGTCCCTATGACCTTGACCTTTGATCCAGTGACCTCAAAATCAAAAGGGGTCATCTACTAATCATGATCAACATCCATGCCAAATATGAAGACTGTGGGTCAAAGGAATCTTAAGATATTGGGCAGACAAAGTTTTTGAAGTCAAAGTCCCTGTGACCTTGACCTTTGACCTGGTGACCTCAAAATCAATAGGGGTCATCTACTAATCATGACTAACCTCCATGCCAAATATGACGACTGTAGGTCAAAGGAATCTTAAGTTATTGGGCGGACAAGCTTTTTGAAGTCAAGGCCCCTGTGACCTTGACCTTTGACCTGGTGACATCAAAATCAATAGGGGTCATCTACTAATCATGAATAACCTCCATGCCAAATATGAAGACTGTATGTCAAAGGAATCTTCAGTTATTGGGCGGACAAGCTTTTTGAAGTCAAGGCCCCTGTGACCTTGACCTTTGACCTAGTGACCTCAAAATCAATAGGGGTCATCTACTAATCATGACTAACCTCCATGCCAAATATGAAGACTAAGGGTCAAAGGAATCTTAAGTTATTGGGCGGACAAGCTTTTTGAAGTCAAGGCCCCTGTGACCTTGACCTTTGACCTAGTGACCTCAAAATCAATAGGGGTCATCTTCTAATCATGACTTACCTCCATGCCAAATATGAAGACTAAGGGTCAAAGGAATCTTAAGTTATTGGGCAGACAAGCTTTTTGAAGTCAAGGCCCCTGTGACCTTGACCTTTGACCTAGTGACCTCAAAATCAATAGGGGTCATCTACTAATCATGACTAACCTCCATGCCAAATATGAAGACTAAGGGTCAAAGGAATCTCAAGTTTTGGGCGGACAAGTTTTTTGAAGTCAAGGCCCCTGTGACCTTGACCTTTGACCTAGCGACCTCAAAATCAATAGGGGTCATCTACTAATCATGACTAACCTCCATGCCAAATATGAAGACTGAGGGTCAAAGGAATCTTAAGTTATTGGGCGGACAAGAAAAAACCGACGGCCGGACGGACGGACAAGCTGATTCCAGTATACCCCCCTTACAACTTTGTTGTGCGGGGGTATAATAACGCATTTTTTCCCAATCAGTCTGGTACCGGCACCATTCCCAAAGTAGAGAAAAAAAACGCTGAAGCTGGGTAAAATGCAATGTTTACCTTGTCTTCCAGTACAACCTTGGTTCCACCATATTCTGGCAACATGACTTTATCTCCAACAGTTACTGAAACTGGCACCACCGCTCCATCCTATAAATAATAACAATAATGATAATAACTAGAAGGGTTTTTGTCACAAAAACATATGTCTCCCAAAACTATGGATTGTCACTCATGTAAAGTTTCATTGAAATCCTACCAGTAGCTTGACCTGAAAGCCAGACAAGATTTTTCTATTAATAGCTTCGACAGCAATTTTGTGCAGCGAAGCTGAACGTGCCAGTCTTGTGCACAACAAGGGATAGTACTGATTACTCCTAAAAAGTTTGATTGAATCACACAAGTAGTTTGACCTGTGAAGGTCGGACAAGATTGTTCAATTTTTAGCTCTAGCAGCCATTTTGTGCAGTGAAGCAGAAAGTGCCTGTGATGTTAAGTGCCGGTGATGTGCACAACAAGGGATAGTACTGATTACTCCTAAAAAGTTTGGTTGAAATCACACGAGTAGTTTGACCTGTGAAGGGCGGACAAGATTGTTCAATTTTTAGCTCTAGCAGCCATTTTGTGCAGCGAAGCAGAAAGTGCCGGTGATGTGCACAACTAGGGATGGTACTGATCACTCCTGTAAAGTTTGGTTGAAATACCACCAGTAGTTTGACCTGTGAATGGGGGACAAGCTAAATGAGGACAGACAACCGGACAGACGGCAAAGGCAAAAACAATGCCTCCCAAAATTTTTGAAGACATAATATTAAGAGCACTGTAGAAATTTATTTCAAATTATCACATAAACTGCCGTGCAGTAGTGTTATATCGCAGGAGTGTCAATATCCTCGTTTAAACAATAGGGCCAAGATGGCCCTAGATCACTCACTTGACCCATCAAACTCATCAGAGCCATTTCTTAGACAAGCATCCTGACCAAGTTTGGTGACAATTAAGTCAAAAATGTAACCTCTGGAGTGTTAACAAGGTTTTTCCATATTTGGGCAGTGGAACCTAGTGTTTGACCCCAGGTGACCCACATTTAAACTTGACCTAGAAATCATGAAAACAAATTTGCAGACCAATTCCCAGAATATTTGGATAACAACAGTAGCCACTAGAGAGTTGACAAGATTTTTTCTATTTTTAGCTCCTGTGACCTAGTTTTTCATCTGAGATAACCCATGTTCAAACTCATATGAGCAATTAACTAGACAAGCATCCTGACCAAGTTTGATGACAATTGACTCGAAAATGTGACATGAGCGTTATTAAGGTTTGACCTAGTTTTTGACCCCCAGGTGACCCATATTTGAACTTGACCTAGAAATCATCAAAACAAACTTTCACATCAATTTCAATGATCATTTGGATCAAAACAGTAGCCACTAGCTCCTGTAACCAAGTTTTTCATCTGAGATGACCCACGTTCAAACTCATCCGAGCAATTACCTAAACAAGCATCCAGACAAAGTTTGATGATGATGGAGGCAAAAATGTGACCACTAGAGTGTTAACGAACAAATGGGGACGGACTAGGGCTGTCATTGATGGAAAATTTTGTACAGATATATCTACTTTGACAGTAGATACATTGAAAATCATTTATATAGTTTATTAGTTTATTTCAGTCTCTTTCATATGCACAGACTTCCCGAAATACGTCGGTCCGATAAATTTATGATCAGGTCCGAGAATTTTTTATTCCGGATCGGTCCGACTGTCCGGCTTTTATCCAAGCCGCATGTATACAAAATAGCGTCGCTAAAGGTGCCAAACCTTGGAAAAACCGAAAATCTACGTCAGAAGAGTGCACAGAAAAGCAATAAAATGATGAAAATATTAGACCTGAGACAAAATTTAATGAAAAATGAAAGCAGAACCATGAATCATTGGTGTATGACAGGGAGGAGATGAAAATGAGCTGTACGGATTGTGCTGATTTTTACGGCGAAAAAATAAAAAACAAAAAGTGTCTTAGAAATACAAACACAAGTTTTTCTTTGATTTTGATCAATTTTATTTGGTCCGACAGATTTTGTTTCGGTCCGACAGATTTTCATGGTTTGTCAGACCGAATGTCTGACAGTTTTTTTCAACTTTCGGGAAGTCTGTATGCATACATATATACCTAAAACATATTAAAAATTGATAACAAGAGCAATCAGTGATCACAAGTGTCGCCTGATGATGGCCAATTTCATGTTGGGACAAGTTTTGTGACAGACGGACAGACAGTGCACAACTAGACTTGGTACTGATCATTCCTGTAAAGTTTGGATAAAATTGCACCAGTAGTTTATGAGGAGTAGTCCGGACAAGCTTTTGTGTATCTGGCAACACACAGAAAAAAACACCTTTTTATCAAAGGGCCATAACTCGGCCAAAAAATCATTCAATCGGAAAACCAGTGCAATATGCGCAAGGACTTGAGCTACAGTTCAATCCTGTAAAGTTTCAATGAAATTGCATTAGAGGTATAGGAGAAGTAGTCCGGACAAACTTTAAAAATAACAAGAATTTGTAACAGAGTTACCAACGTGCCCCGCCCCAGGAGTTTTATATGAAGCATAAAATTGTGCTATTTCAAAAGATTGAGGTATGGATCTCAGGACATTCAGTCCAAAATTATGATCAATGCTATATCTGCAAATGTAACAATAAATTTGTTAAAAAAAAAAAAATAAAATTAAACACGGAATTTAAAAATCTATCATGTTAAGCTTTGACCTCTAAGTGTGACCTTGACCTTGGAGGTAGTGGAGCAGGTGTTGTGCATGACATAACATCTTATTATTGAGACTATTTGTGCCAAGTATTTTCAAAATCCCTTGAACTATGAAGAACTTATAGATTGGACACCAAAATATACCCTATAACAGACTATGTAAATCTTTTACCTCTAAGTGTGACCTTGACCTTGGAGGTAGGGACACAGATGTTACGCATGACATATCATCTAATCATTGTGACTATCATAATTTGTGCCAAGTATTTCAAAATCCCTTAATCTATGAAGAAGTAATGGACGTGACAAAAAAATATACCAAATAACAGACTCTGTTAACCTTTGACCTCTAAGTGTGACCTTGACCGTAAGAGGTAGGGGTGCAGGTGTTGTACCTGACATATCGGCTTATTATTGTGACTATTTGTGCCAAGTTATTTCAAAATCCCTTGATCTATGAAAAAGTTATAGACCGGACACAAAATATACCCTGTAACAGACTATGTAAGTATTTGACCTCCAAGTGTGACCTTGACCTTGGAGGTAGGAGACTGGTTTTTGCGCATGACACATCATCTGATTATTGTGAACAATTATGGCAAGTATTTACAAAAGTCTTTCATAGATAAGAAAGTTATGGATCAGACACGACATATACCCTCAAATAGATAATGATGACCTTGAATGAGCAAGTACGACCTTGACCCTGAAGGTACGGGTCTGGTTGTTGCGCAAGACACATTGTCTTATTATAACAAACATTTGTGCCAAGTTATCTCAAATTCCTTTGATAAATGACAAAGTTATGGACTGGACACCAAATATACCCTGTAACAGACTATGTTAATATTTGACCTCCAAGTGTGACCTTGACCTTGAAGGTAGGTGACCGGTTTTTGCGCATGACACATCGTCTGATTATTGTGAACAATTATGGCAAGTATTTACAAAATCCCTTCATAGATAAGAAAGTTATGGACCGGACACGACATATACCCTCAAATAGATAATGTTAACCTTGAATGAGCAAGTATGACCTTGACCCTGAAGGTAAGGGTCTGGTTGTTGCTCATGACACATCGTCTTATTATAACAAACATTTGTGCCAAGTAATTTCAAATTCCTTTTTTAAACAAGATATGTTTGTAAAACATGTATGCCCCCTATCAGCAGCCAATTAGTCATGTGATCAGGTTATTATGCATGACTTCTGACCCAGTGAACAAACAATTAATAAGGGTTATCTAGTATCTTCTGGTCATGTCTAGGTAATAAGGTAATAATTATTGTGACGCCATAGGTTGTGTGCAGCAATTTAAGTTATTACAAATCTTACCAAATAATATATGCATAAATTTTATGAATCATGTAGGCCTCATTAATAACAGCTAAGTTGTTATATTACATAAGACCTTCAAATGTGTTTACCAAAAGCATTTTTAGTTCAATATAAAAATATCAACCAAGGCAACTTGAGTTGTTGAGTTATTGGTCAGAAACCTTCATTAAGTACAGGGTCAATATGAGATTGACCCCTTGACCCCAAAATCAATAGGGGTCATCTACTGGTCATGACCAATCATCATACCAAGTTTGAAGTTCCTAGGCCTAGGTGTTCTTTAGTTATTGATCTGAAACAGTTTTTACCTACAAGGTCAATGTGACCTTGACCTTGGACCCCTTGACCCCAAAATCTATAGGGGTCATCTGCTGGCCATGACCAATTATCATACCAAGTTTGAAGTTTCTAGACTTAAGCGTTCTTTAGTTATTGATTGGAAACCGTTTTTACCAACAAGGTCAATGTGACCTTGACCTTTGACCCAAAATCAATAGGGGTCATCTGCTGGTCATGACCAATCACTATACCAAGTTTGAAGTTGCTAGGTCTAAGCATTCTTTAGTTATTGATCAGAAACCGTTTTTACTAACAAGGTCAATGTTACCTTTGACCCTTTGACCCAAAATTCAAAAGAGGTCATCTGCTTGTCACGACCAACCATCATACAAAGTTTGAAGTTGCTAGGCCTAAGCATTCTTTAGTTAATTGATCGGAAACCCTTTTTACCTACAAGGTCAATGTGACCTTGACCTTTGACCCCTTGACCCAAAAATCAATAGGGGTCATCTGCTGGTCATGACCAATCACCATACCAAATTTGAAGTTCCTAGGCCTAAGGGTTCTTAAGTTATTGATCGGAAACTGTTTTTTACCTACAAGGTCAATGTGACCTTGACCTTTGACCCCTTAACCCCAAAATCAATAGGGGTCATCTGCTGGTCATGACCAATCGCCATACCAAGTTTGAAGTTCCTAGGCCTAAGGGTTCTTTAGTTATTGATCGGAAACCGTTTTTACCTAAGAGGTCAATGTGACCTTGACCTTTGACCCCTTGACCCCAAAATCAATAGGGGTCATCTACTGATCATAACCAATCACCATATCAAGTTTGAAGTCCCTAGGCCTAAGGGTTCTTTAGTTATTGATCAGAAACCGTTTTTTACCTACAAGGTCAATGTGACCTTGACCTTTGACCCCTTAACCCCAAAATCAATAGGGGTCATCTGCTGGTCATGACCAATCACCATACCAAGTTTGAAGTTCCTAGGCCTATGGGTTCTTTAGTTATTGATCGGAAACCGTTTTTACCTAAGAGGTCAATGTGACCTTGACCTTTGACCCCAAAATCAATAGGGGTCATCTACTGATCATGACCAATCACCATACCAAGTTTGAAGTTCCTAGGCCTAAGGGTTCTTTAGTTATTGATCGGAAACCGTTTTTGCTTACAAGGTCAATGTGACCTTGACCTTTGACCCCTTGACCCCAAAATCAATAGGGGTCATCTACTGGTCATGACCAATCACCATACCAAGTTTGAAGTTCCTAGGCCTAAGGGTTCTTTAGTTATCACTCGGAAACCATTTGGTCTACGGACCGACGGACCGACAAGTGCAAAGCAATATACCCCCTCCCTCTTCTTCGAAGTGGGGGCATAATAACAAAGTTATGGACCGGACAGGAAATATACCCTGTAACAGACTATGCTAATATTTGACCTCCAAGTGCGACCTTGACCTTGAAGGTAGGTGACTGGTTGTTGCGCATGACATATCGTCTGATTATTGTGAACAATTAGGCAAGTATTTACAAAAGTCCTTCATAGATAAGAAAGTTATGGACCGGACACAACATATACCCTCAAATAGGCAATGTTGACCTTGAATGAGCAAGTGTGACCTTGACCCTGGAGGTAGGTGTCTGGTTGTTGCTCATGACACATTGTCTTATTATAATTAACATTTGTGCCAAGTTATTTCAAATTCCTATCATAAATGACAAAGTTATGGACCGGACACGAAAGTGTGACGGACGGACAAGGCACAGACTATTTGCTCCCCAGAAATTTTTCGGGGAGCATAAAAAATTTTTATGCATGTAGGAGATATGCTTGACAAAATCTGGATATCTCAGCATTTTAGTGACCTTGGCCTTCCGCATATTGACCTAAAATACATGTGACACAGCCATAGTCAATCATGATAATGACCATTTGTGTTACGATCCCTAAATAGTTAACAGTACTGCATCCATAATTTACCAGTTTCTACCTGGTGTGCATAGAATATAAATAGCACAATGATTTGATCCAGAAATCAATTAGTTTAACACAATAATGCAGAGGAATTTATTTTACAAATAGATGCATCAACAAAATAGATATCAGAAAGATTGTAACAAAATTCTTTCAAAATTTAACCATTTTTACCGGAATTTACCCTACAGGACTTACTTTTCTGGCACCTCCTCCAACTGCAACAACTGTGGCCTCGAGAACTTTACCCTGAGCTTTATCTGGTATCATTATTCCTGACTTAGTCTTTGTTTCTGCAGCAAACCTTTCAACCAGGACACGATCAAACATTGGCAAGAATTTCTTAAATGCTCTAGCCTACAAAAAAAATATTAACAATTAAAATCTAACATTCAGAGCAACAGATAAGGTGCATATTTGCGTATTTACGCAATTAATTTTATAAAATACGCAATTGATTATTTAAGAATGCGTATCAAAACCAATTTAAAAAAAAACATACGCAATTGTCTTAAAAACCCGTGCGTATTGTCATTTTCAACAACGTAAAGTTAATCTGTCGTATGCTAGTTCTTTTGGACCAATTACAGTCAAACGTGTATTAAGCGACCGGGCAAGGGAAACACCCAAAACGGTCGCTTAATGAAACGGTCTCTTAAGATGGTCAGCATGATATAAAAGTCAAGATTTATAAATGACATCTTTTTTATTCGGTGGGATTGTTTTTCAACTTCATTTTTATATAAATGTTGAAAAAAAAGTACGCTCCGATAATCTAAATGGATGCAAATGTAAAATATAACTTTCTGATATTTATTTAGATCCATTCCCTTGCAGAAATATATACTGGTATTTAAAAAGTCCCAGTATTTCCCAATTATTATCCTAGAAAATTCCAGAATGTTAAAACCAGTCTTGGCTATTCTAGTATGGCCTAGGAAATACCAGTTACTGAGAACTAGGCATTTCTAATAATTCTTAAACAACTCATCAATTTCTAAGTTAAACTAGGAATTGTAATTTATTTTCTGAGATTTCTAAGACTTAAGATTTTGCAAAATTCCTAGTCTTTAGGAATTACTTAGAATTTATTTTGTAGAACAAAATCCTTAACATATGTGCTAAATTCCTTGAATCTTACATAAATTCCTAAAGACTAGGAATTCTCTTTGTTGAAAGTAAACAAGTAAATAAAGAAGGAAGACAATAAAATTGAAAATAAAAATGTTTTCTTTCTTTTTTTAAATAAAACAACATACTGATCTAGTTCTATTTAATAATATTTTTCTAGGATTAGATCTACTATTATTATTATTATTTAGATCTAATTGAAATTTAATAATCAATTGACCTTAATGGTCAACCTGCATTTATGACAATTTTATCTTTGGTCATTTAATTAATAGATAATAGGAATATAAAATCCAAAAAGAAATAACAAATGTACAGGCACTCCAAGTAAATCAAAGACGTATTATAAACCTTTAAAAAACAATCAATAATTGACATCTGAAGTATGTAATTTTTATCAGTTGTGTAGAGCTATTTTTAGCGCTGTCAAATTGCATCCACTGATGTCATGCTTCAGTGCACAGGCTGTGTGTATAAACCACTTTATACACGGTGACATTTTTATTGAGTGTGATTTGAACATACGTAGATCTAATTAGGGGTGGATTTAAGGTGATTATTATTGCATAGTTGAAAATCCCATGTGGCAAATTGACTCTTGTGCAGATTCTTTCACGTGTCAAATATGTGCATTTCCAAATTTTCACGAGTCAAAACCTGAATCCCCGCGTCAATCGAGAGGACTTCCTGAATTAAAGTAGGCCTATATGTGGCAGCCGGCAGGTCATATTTATGCTGACGGAAATTAACGATGATAACTTAGTCTTCACTTAACCAGCGAACCTTTACGATTATACTCGAGCAATATCCGTATATTTACGCTAACCGAGAAGAGCATATTTTCATGACGTATAAGATACGTATACTGATGACGTAGCAACACAATTGTTTTGGAAACTACTGTACTGTAGCTTTGTATGAAATTCAAGCGCTTGTTGTGCTTAAAATAATAGATTTGTGAAATAAAATTCAACGATATAAATTGAAATTATTCAGTCATTGTATTGACGGCAAAAACAACGGAACTACACGAAATTATGCGAATCAAGCACATGTTACTGACGTAGTACACAGGTTTATTACGTAGAACACAGGTTTATTGTGCGCGCAAAATTCAAAGACGGCAGACACTTCGTCTCATATCAAACAGTGAACTGATATCGTCTCCCCAATAAAGACATACAACGAGGAAGGTGAAATTGCTCAAGCAAATTATCAGAAGAAGACCTTCAAAGCTGCAATCGGTGAAATTAACTGTGAGTATATTAGATCCTACTATTATCATAAATGCACTGATTTTTTCCCAAACAGAGCCGGCATGTATGACCCCTAGAAAAAATGATGAGTCTAGAGATTATTTTAATGACCTTTCTTCACTTCTAAAAGCATTATTTTGTAAAAATTTGCCGACTGTATCAATAGAAATAATGTATTTCCAGCTTATTCCTAGTTACAGTTAAAGATAGATCTACTTAAACCTTACTGGAAAAAATGCGTAAACGGACATTTGTCACATATTTTCGCGACCTGTTTTTATTTATTTCTTTGTTGAACAGGAAAGATATAATAATGAATAAAAAACAAAGCATCGTTGAAGATGGTTGTGCTTCCCTGCAGGAAATTATTTGCTTTAGTATGCAGACAGTTCACTACCTTAGCAATTTTGCACTTGTAGTAAAAAAAAAGTTTTTCATAAAGAAACAATATTTTTATATCACCATTAATTTATGTTGTTATATATTAGAATATGATAAACAAGATCAACAAGAAAAGATGATGTTCAATAAGCCTACATCATGTCTGTATTTTAAAATAACACATTACTGACTGTATTTTTAAATCACAATAAGATACCTCCAAAAATTTATTTGAAACAGAAATCATGTTTTCTGTTTGTTTTTGTTTTGTATGTGTGTGTTAATGTGTGATTTAATCTCTAGATTTCTGTGCATGTATAGGAATTATTGGACCACTAAAAAGTTGTCTAGGCCACCAAAATTTATCGGTCAGTGGTCCACTGGTGACAGCCTAGCTAAAATGGTTTCTCTTTGACACTGCCTAAGCCTATACTAGAGAATCTGAATACTGGTCCATTAAAATAAATCCCACATGATGATTTGCAAAGAACAAAAATAGCACAAACAGACTGAAACAGTGTCATACTTTAAGCACTAACCTGAATACATTGCCTTAATCTCAGTCATTGAATTTAAGATTTTTGAATAAACTCGTCCGAATTCCAGTTTTGAATTTATTCTACTATATATTTAACTAAATTCTCTTAAAATTTACACTGGTCATGGGCCACCCGGCCAGTGCTAAATTCGATGACTGTAATCTATTATTGTATTAGGGGGCAGGACGTGAAGTGGTTGAACATGCTTGAACAAGATATTTTTGTGGCCCATTTTAGTGGCGGGCATTTAGATTTACCCTTGTCCGTCCGTTCTCTTTGTGTCGGAACTCAAAAAGTATTTGACCTAGTCATGAAACTTTACAGGAATGTTGATCAGCATGTGTAGTTGTGCACCTGGGTATTTTTGTCTGGATTTATATAGTATATTTTTAGAGTTATTGCCCTTGACTTAGTAAAATTTTGCAATTTTCAACTTGTGTCGCATGTAACTCAAAATGGGTTTGACATAGAGTCATGGAACTTTGCAGGAATGTTGATCAGCATGTGAAGTTGTGCACTTGATATTTTCTTGTGGATTTATTTTATTTTTTAGAGTTATTGACCTTGACTTAGAAATTTTTTTGCAATTTTCAACTTCAGCATGTAAATCAAAAAAGGATTTGACATAGAGTCATTAAACCTTAAAGAGATCGGTCAGCATATGTAGTTGTGCACCTTGGGTTCCCCTTGTGGATTTATCCCCTATTTGTAGAGTTATTTCCCTTGACTTCATAAAAACCGTTTCATTATGTTGTGTTATTTGTTCCTGGAGTGCTTGAGTTAGAATCAACCAACTTTACAGAAATAATGATCAACAACACTAAATTACAGGAATAACAATGATAATAAATAATAATAAAAAAAATACACAGTATATTTTCATTAGTTTGCCTTTTTTGGTGAACTTCAAAACTTACATTTGTGAATAAATGAGCATAAAAACCACCCTGGACTTTCACTTATCAAATTTCAAAATATGTTCATGACCAGTTCATAGCTTTAATAGCTTTGTATAACCAAAAGCTACAAATCTGAGGCCCAGAACCAGAGCTCCAGATAGCGTGCGTATAAGCGTAAAATACGCATAGAAAATCTAAAATACGCATCACTTTCAAAATTCGTGCGTCACAGTTACGCACAACAAAATGAAAATACGCTTGTATGTCAAAATTTAGGCGTAAAAGAATAAAAGTGTAAACATTTGATATTCAGATAGGGGATGTTTTGAGCATAAAAATACAATATATTTCCATTTTATTGCATTGAAAACTAAAAGTCTGTTGTCAACAACGCATGCTAAAAACGAAAGTAGCAGGAAGTACAGAAGGGAGGTAACTCCCGTAGATCAACCTGTGAAATTATTGATATAAATTTTTGCCAGATAACCATCGTAGGAGTTAAAATAGTATTAAGTTTGTTAAGGCATCTATTTTCATGCTTATGTCTCAATATAAACAAAAATATATTTTAAAATCTTTCACTTTTGTTGTTGGCACAAAATAACACGCTTTGTTCACCTGCAGTTTTGTACTCAATATTTTCGTACCCAGTCTACAGTTACGGACAATTTTCTCTCAGACCAATACTTTTTTAAATGAAAAATATAAAATCTTTTTTTTCTTTAATTCTAATTTCAACTATAATTGTTCAAACTGGGGCACATGATAAGCTACATGCCAACAGAAATAAAGAAAGAAAAATATTGACTCCTAGAAAATTTATTAATTTTCGGGCTTCCACTAGTTGAAGTTTGGGTGTCATTTAATTACTCCTTCATTTTGGCATGTGACTTCCGAAAATCTAATACTTTTCCTTCTTTACCAATATAATGTGACTTCCAATATCAGAGATTTTGAAGTCTTTGACTTCCAAATTTTGAAAATGGAAGCCCTGATAATTTTGCTGTGTATCCTAAACTTGAGTTCCAGTATACTCTGGAAGTCTTACTTTACAGGGCACGTTTTGTATTGCTTCACATTGAATCAGTATTTTATTTTTAAAGGTTTTTCTAAAAAAAGAAAATAAACAAACAAACAAAAACAATAAGTTTAATTTGTTTATAAAAAATGCAAAATGCTTT